TCATCGCCTTTGCCTGTCTCTCTTCCTGGCTGGTTGCTGTCCTTGGCGGCGGTTTAGGATGGGTCATTATCATCATGGCTGCTTGCTCGACATACTATCGCACCTCGAGCAGACGAGTCCGACGAAACTTCCGAGACGACGTTATTCGAGAAATGGCCTTGAAGAAGTTGGACACTGACCACGAATCTTTAGAATGGATCAATTCTTTCCTGGTCAAGTTTTGGCCAATATATCAGCCAGTCCTCGCCCAAACGGTCATCAACGCTGTGGATCAAGTGTTAAGCTCCGCAACGCCATCTTTTCTAGACAGCCTGAAGCTCAAGACATTTACACTCGGCTCGAAACCCCCACGGATGGATCATGTCAAAACTTATCCAAAAGCCGAAGACGATACAGTTGTCATGGACTGGAAGTTCAGTTTTACGCCCAATGATACAGCCGACATGACATCTCGCCAGATCAAAAATAAAATAAACCCCAAGGTAGTTTTGGAAATCCGAATCGGCAAAGCTATGATCAGCAAAGGCCTGGATGTTATCGTTGAAGACATGGCTTTCTCTGGTATTATGCGACTTAAGATCAAGTTGCAGTTTCCTTTCCCTCATATAGAGAAGGTCGAAATGTGCTTCTTAGAACGTCCGACTATCGATTATGTTTGCAAGCCACTCGGTGGTGATACCTTTGGGTTTGATATCAACTTCATCCCAGGTCTTGAACGTTTCATTCAGGAGCAAATCCATGGCAACCTGGCCCCGATGATGTACGCTCCAAATGTGTTCCCCATCGAGGTTGCTAAACTGCTGGCTGGTTCTCCTGTCGATCAGGCTATTGGCGTAGTTGCCGTAACGCTCCATGGAGCCCACGGCCTCAAGAACCCTGATAAATTCTCTGGCAATACTGATCCATATGCCGTGCTCACTCTGAATAAGCGCGCTCCACTTGCTCGGACGAAGACAATCAAGGATACTTGTGATCCCCGGTGGAACGAAACTCACTATGTCATCGTTACCTCGTTCAACGATTCTCTCGATATCATGTTGTACGACTATAACGACATTCGCAAAGACAAAGAACTTGGAGTTGCCTCTTTCCAGCTAGAAAGAATCGAAGAACTCGGTGTCCATGAGAACGAACGTATGGAAGTGATCGCTAACGGCAAGGCCCGAGGCGTGCTTAACGCCGACTTCCGTTTCTTCCCCGTCCTCGAAGCGACCACGCTTCCCGATGGTAAAGTTGAACCTCCGCCGGAGACAAACACCGGCATCTTACGATATACCATTGAGCAAGCAAAAGATCTTGACGGCACGAAGAGCCTCGTAGGGCTTCTCAACCCTTATGCAGTTTTACTACTGAATGGCAAGGAAGTTCATCAGACGAAGAAACTCAAGCGCACCAACAACCCCATTTGGGACAATGGATCGAAAGAAATTCTCATTACCGACCGCAAGAGTGCTAAGCTTGGTTTGGCTATCAAAGATGATCGTGATATTGCAGGAGATCAACTGGTCGGCACATACCAGATCAAACTCGACGATATGCTGGAGATGATGGAGAAAGGTAATGAGTGGTATAACTTGTCCGGCGTCCATACAGGCCGCGCAAAGCTCACGGCGAAGTGGAAGCCCGTAGCAATCTCAGGTGTCCTATCAAGCTCTGGTGGTTATCAAGCACCCATTGGTGTCATGCGTCTCCATTTCCAGAGAGCCCATGGCCTTCGCAATTTCGAAACCATGGGCAAATCGGATCCTTACGTTCGCGTTCTTCTTTCTGGTATTGAAAAGGGTCGAACTGTGACTCACCGCAATACCCTAGATCCCGAATGGGATGAGATTATTTACGTTCACATGCACTCTCCCCGTGACAGGTTGACGCTGGATGTTATGGATGCTGAAAAGATGGGCAAAGACCGAAGTTTGGGTCTGGTCGAGGTCTTCGCTGGTGACTACATTGAGAAAGACGACAACGGCGCATGGTTGGTAAACGATCAAAAGAAGATACAAGAGGCAGGTCTGCGTCTGCACGGCAAGGGCATTGAAAAGGGAGTGCTTGTCTATACTGTATCATTCTTCCCTTGCCTGAATATCGCCGACCCCGAGAACGAAGAGGAAACCGAAGAGAGTGAGCTTGGTGCTAGGGCTTTAGTCGACGCTCCGCGATCATCGGAAGCTGGTAAATTCTCTTCACTGGAGAGGAAGGATACTAATACCCTGCCAACTACACCAACAACCCCCATTTTGCCTACGTCACCTACTTCCACTCACGGCCGAAGATCTCGAGAACTTCCGAGGGAGCCACCTAAAATTCATCTCGCTCCTGAAGAACTTCTCAAGTATGAATCTGGGTTCTTAATATTTAACCTCATTGAGGGCGAGATGCCCAAGAGTGGAGCTCATCTCGAGATCTTTGTCGACGATATGTTTTATCCCTCTTATATTTCTGGAACGGCAAAGTCAAGAATCTTCAAATTCGACGAGATCGGGGATTGCTTTATCCGCGAACTTGAATTCTCTAGGCTCACTCTAAGAATACGGGAAAAGCGTGAAAAGCCGGGTGAAGAACGTGACGAAGACCATACTCTAGCTCGCCTAACTGGCAATACGTTAGAGACACTAAAGCAATGCCTTGTAAGTCTCATTATATGTCAGTTCGATGCGGCCAAGACTAATCGTTATAGAATAACCCCACCATCCTGAGGCTCAAAGATGAAGAGAATCGCCCAGCAAACGTCAAGGTCAGCTTGAAGTATATTCCTGTTAACATGCAGCTCGACCCTAGCGAGAGTATCAACAACATGGGAAATCTCCGTGTAGATCTGTTGGATGGTGCTGACTTGCCCGCCGCTGATTCAAACGGTAAAAGTGACCCCTATTGCAAGTTTGAACTAAATGGCGTGGAAGTCTTCAAGTCGAAAACCCAGAAGAAGACTCTGAGCCCAACTTGGAACGAGTTCTTCGAACTTGCTATTCCATCTCGTACGGCCGCCAAGTTTCAAGTCAAGGTATACGACTATGATTTCGCCGACAAACCAGACTTTTTAGGGGGGGCCGATATAAATCTCGAACAGCTTGATCCATTCCGAGGCCAAGAAGTTAAACTTCTATTAGATGGAAAGTCCGGTTCCATTAGATTACGACTTCTCTTCCGCCCCGACTATGTCACGCGATCTCGATTGGGTACTGGCACATTCTCAGGGACCTTTGGTGCTCCTGCCAAGATAGTTACTGGCGTCGTGGGTGCACCAGTTAAAGGTGGTGTGGCTGTGGCAGGTGTTGTCGGCCATGGCGTAGGCAAAGGTGCCAGCTTCATCAAGCGGGGATTCCGAGGTAAAAAGGACGATGAGAGCAATGGTTCCGTCATATCAACGAGCACAACTGATGTCCCTACGATCGTTACAAACGACGCGGATTCCCCCAGCATCAAACGCTCCGGGGCTCTTGTCCTGGATGGGGAGGCCCCACCCGCTTTGTCTAACGGCTCTCGGTCACATAATCGAACGGCCAGCATGGGTGCTGCTTCGATCAATAGCTTAGCTCCCGGCGCTCCTGGCCAGGGAACGGCCACATTCAATATCATATCTGCGTCTGGCTACCCCCCTTCTTCAGACGTTTACGTCATCATCAAGCAATTAACTCCGAAGGAAAAGATGATTGCGAAGACGAAACACCACGAAACACCTGGCACGATTCGATTCGACGAGACTTTCAAGCATAAGTGCACACCAGACACGCAGTTCCGCATAGAAGTGAAGGGCCATCACACGTTTGGTAGCGACGACGAGTTTGGTGAGGCGTTGTACTTCGTGGATGAGAGTGGTGGCGGCGAGAAGGAGATCAAGGTGGGCAGCGGCAGCGTCATCCTGAAGAGCGCGTTCGAGTCCGCTCAGGAGAAGGAGACTCCGCGCCCGGGCACATCGGGAGGTGGAATAAGGCGGAGCTTCCTCAGCAAGAGGGATCATCAGAGAACGAGCCGTGAGAGTACCCCGAGCTTGTAGGCTGGTGGTTCTTTATACAGGGAGGGAGGAACGTTGCAAAAGGCTGGCGCGTTGGGTGGATGGGTTATGATGGATGGCGTCTGGGTTGGTTGGTTGGTTGGTTGGTTGGGGCTGGATAAGTAAGGCCTGACTTGATGTGTGTGGGCCTAGGAAAACTGACTGACTTGTTTCCATCCATCCGTCTTGATTGTTTATTTTGTGTTGTTGCTTTTATTTTTTAGCTATTTGTTTATTTGTTAGTATCTCGCAATACCACCTTGCCGCGTCTGCGAAGCCTACTTTGCTAGGAATATAATATTATTAGCGTTATGTAAGTTGTGGCTTGTTGCTGAATGTTATGTGATTCTTGATCTTAAGTTTAGGGGTTAAGGAGTAGTTATTGCTCATGGTCCACGGTCTTTGCCTACGATTTTTTCTATGATGGGAGAATTTACATCAGAAGATGTAGTAAATTCTGAAGGGGGATATTATTTACAGAGACTGATGTGTGGCTGACTATCTTGTTGTTTGTATGATTGAGTATTTTGTATCCTCGCTCTTTTTCTGGAATATCGAGGTTTTAGGTCATATTGTCGATGAGCTCATTCTGCCTTCCATCTTTTTATGAGAGGCACCGAGCTGACTCTCCTCCCAAACCACCTAACCTAGTTGGGAGGATTCTGACACAGCGACAGTCAGCTGCCTTTCTTCGCGCTAAGTACCTGGCATTGCTCAGGAGATTTGTGAGTTTAAGTTAGCATTTTCAATTGAGGGCCTGTGGTAAAGGAGGGTTTAGTAAGCAGTTAAGCGTCAGGAGAGTTTCGAATAAGATTCACCAATACACCAACCACTAGCAAGGTCGAGCTATGAAAGTTAGAACTCAATATTATTAATTTCTAACAACTAGTCTAGGAGAGGCTCCAAATTAACAGAGCTCAGGACAAACGTATCAACATTTAGCCTGTAGCAATCTTGTTTTTTAATGATATAGATTTTATTACGGACGGTTTTTGTCAGTAATCGACAATCTGCGGGGATAGCTCAGTTGGGAGAGCGTCAGACTGAAGTCCAACTTCAATCATATTATCTGAAGGTCGTGCGTTCGATCCGCACTCACCGCATTAGTTTTTGATATATTTTCGTCTCATATAATGTTTTTGCCGTCTTGATTGCAAAATAAAAGGTCCTGACTAACTAACACTGGTACCGTCCTTTTGGACATAACATACTCAGCTTCGTGGTTCGAGCTTTCGATCCATCAACACCAAGTAGGCTCTTAATGATAGTCAATACGGACTCTACTGCGAAAATAAACTTAACGAACATCTCTGCATGTCATACTCTCGCGATACCTCACGATACCTACAGCTGCATACCACTCCCCTAGAAGGACAGAACAAAGAGGACACTTTGTATATAGATCTCTAGCCGGTAGATGTAGTAGTTAGAGCTCTTCGTGCAACAACAAGTATCAAAGACTTACCCCATACGTTGGCATCAGAGGTCGTGACATTGCCCAATGGGGTAAATGTAGTATAAGGAACTCCAATTTTGGATACTGACACTTCAACATTTGTATACAATACGGTCCCAGCAATATTAAGTAAGCCTGCGAGACAGATACCTCGATTTTTACCGGTTGGGCGAATCAAAGGAACTGCTCCGGGTTTTGTGGGTGGAGAGCAGAAGAGGGCAGCATGAATCTCAAGATCGCAAAGACGATCATGTAAGAGACGAGAAGATTAAGGTAGATATGACAGTTGTGGATTTCTTTAAAAATCCAACCTATACTACCAAGTTATAATCCAAAGTACTTACTATCTAGGCTTGTTGAATTCACTGCTTCTCGGCCACGTTCTACTGAGAGTCGTGAACAGCTACCGACAGCAAGAGAGCTGGACTACATGACTACAATGAAGGGAAATTTGCTGCTGCCACTATAGTGTACGCATGGAATGTCTTTTCTTATCATTGATACTTGATGCTATATCTTGTCCGTAATTCACTGAGGAATTGAATTCAATACAAAAGTCGGACCGTCGTATGGTCTTCCCATTCGCACATTACAATTCGTCGGGCGTGCTTGATATTCTGTCGGGATATGTGATATCTTCAGAGCCTTATCTGCAAATTGAGGATCCAGGGGGGAGCCTATTAAATCTGCCCGAGGCATGTACGCGAAAGATACCTCGCAGCCGTTTTCCACATAATCTGCTAATATAGTATCCAGTTCTTTCGCGAGGTCACCAAGAGGGCTCAAGATCGCGGAAGCTTCCCGTGGTAAGTTCTTGTAGGGTGTTTGGATTACCACACACGTCCAGCCCTCGCGATACCAGTCCTGCGGGATTCTGAAGTCAGCAACTACCATTTATAGTGATCAAGTCAAAGTTAAGAAAGATATTTAAGTAACTAGCGGCAATGAAACACGTCTGAAAAAGCGACATAATATACCCTCAAGTACTGACCTTATACATAAGCGCTGCAAGGACGGCGCGGAAGCGAGCGCGATTCATATTCGCCCGGCGAGGTGACCCGTCTGGCCCTTGCATCTCCAATGGGAACATCACGGTATCATTGGAGGAGCTCCCGAATTTGAACGCGCAACCTCCAGAAGACCCGGCACGATCAGAAGTCCCATCGGTATAAATTAGCATTGTCTTCGAGTACGACTGCCTCGTGACAAAGTTTTGGCGGAGACAGAACCTCGTGACAATCTTCGCGCCTATCGTCGCGACATTGCGCGGGGTGAACATGTACTGTAAATTATCGACGACGTCAAATTTGATCCCGACAAATCTACCTTTTGCACGCATTCTTGGTCTGACGTCTGCGACAGCGGCGTCGTTTGGAAGAGGGCGCAGATCATCTACATTAAGCATGGGGGATCGCTCTGAGAGCTGCCGGAAACTCATCGCTATCGGGATTATGCCATCATAAAACTTGACGGTGTCTCTGTCAAGGATTACACGCGGGTCGGCTTCATTCTCCGAGTCATAACAAGTGTTATGTGGTTGCTGAGATGATTGCTGCGATGGACCCGAGGATAGGCTGTAGAGTGTGAGTTCTATGGTGAACATATTCACTCTATAAGAGTATCAGCTTAGAATGGTTCCTAGACTTGTATCACTAACATCGAAACTCACAATTTTCCTCAATACTTCGGTTGGTTTTGACGATCGACCGTATTAATGTTAATATGGACAAACAAGAGATGAGATGAGGAAACGGTGAAGTGAGGGAACGAGAGATGGTATGGCACTGGCATGTTTTTCCCTTGTACCTCTCGTTGCCAATATGAACCATCCAATGAACTTTTGCACATTCGAGTCTCAAGCCATAATATGCATGTGTTGTCTTTAATTACGTGGGCAGGCTACGGGTACAAGCAGGCACCCGGATAGCCACATCCACAGACTGACACAGAAGCCCACAACAATAAACAAGAAAGAACAAGCTAATCCCAAGCCCAAAATCGTAAACAAAATGTCGAGAAGGAAGGTTAGACTCGTCCTACCGGGTGAGATCAGATATACTGACAAGTATATTGTCGGAGAGGACAGACCGTTGGTTCTAAACCGCAGCTTGTTCTGAGAATTTCGGGTTTTGTATCAATTGAAGAAGGGATGAGCAGAAGAAGTAGGCCAAGCAGGCTTTGGGTAGTTGAGTCAGGCCTCGTACCTCCCATGACATACAGGGCTGGTGAAATTTTCATTTACATGCCTGCAGATAATGCAGATACCCGTGTCCGATACTTATTGTTGTCTCGCTGTTGAAATTATAACGCTTAAAGGACTAGATCAATTAAAACATTTATCAATACGACGCCGCAAATTCTGCCTAGTCGTTATGTTCCATTATGAAATCTCGCAATTTCGGATAATACAATTCGGCTCTTGCAGCAAATGTTTGTGAATGTTTTTGCTAACCTGTATCTCTATGCGTGTGAGAGTTGTCCTTTCCTCGAAGTGGCAGCAATGGTATAGAGACGCGAGCTCGCTTAAGCCATCGGCTGCGACGAGATGTTCTTTTAGGGGGTGCCAGCTGACTCTGAGCCAAGGCAACCTGAGGGCTCCTTTGCGGTGTTGAGCCTGTTGTCAATCCACTCGGCGGTTGTGCCTGTGCCCACCTCAGTCTGTGTTCGGCTCTAGCTCTCTCCCATTGCTCCTGTCGCCGGGCTTCAGCAGCTTCGGCCTCAGCTCGCTCGTTCTGCTTCAGAGCCTCGATCTCGTCGCGGATCCTGTCACGTCGTGCCCATTCTCTGTCGATCATGGCAGGGCTGAACGCATCCTCAGATATTACTATAAACTGTCAGTAACTTCAATGAACGTGGTAAGTTAGAGCATTGCAACTATCGTACCATCTTCAATACTATCGCCCTCCAGTTGGTCTAACGCCCCTCCGAAGCGTTCACCAAATTCTCGAACAAGACGAACGCCACAAACATCTAGATGTTCTAGATCATCGTCTTCCGTCAGATTTGCTGTGCAATTTGAGAAAACGTCCATGTCGAAGAGATAATCCTTGTCTAGTATGACATCAACGGGAAGATCGCTGAGCACAAGGAAGTCACATCGGATCGAGTGGCCACTAGATGACCAAATAGCATCCCGGACTATGCCATCGGTAAGACTGGTAGTCCCATCTGCGAACTCGACTTCGGCGATGTCATTCGGGTTACTGTCGACCCTTAAGCCGTGACGCCAAGCATAATCCCATGATACGATCATGGCGTCGGAGCCGGTATCTGGTAGGGCAGCCACCAAGTTGTCATTGAGATGTCCCCATAGACGCTGCTTTCCTTCACCAAGGAGATTCACACGGATATATCTGGAGGGCGAGACATGATTCCTTTGGATTCGATGACGGAGCGTGGTAAGACATTGAGTCTTTTCGAGGAACTTGCTGCCGAGGATCATTGCATATGCGCAACCGGGTAATACCCAGCAAGTTATGTGAAACGTCTCCTCTTCATTGAGGAAATTCCAGGGCACGCCGACTGCACCAGGTGAAATCAACTTCCTTCCGTTGGCTAATTTCACAAGCCTTTCCGTTCCAGGTTGGGGATGTAATCCCAGGCTGATTGCTAGCTCTGGTGAGATAAAACATACGTCTGCACCAGAGTCTGGCAGGGCGGCGACCGATCTTCCCATTACTTCCCCGTAGATGGTCCAACCACCGGCTCGGTTGGACTGTCTTTGAGGTTGACTGCGCCTATTATATTCAGATAACCAAGCCGGTATGCCAAGGAAAGTTGCCAAATGGTGTAACGAAATGTCTCCCAACCGGAGATCTCCAGGCTTATTGTATTGTTGATTATGGGAATCGGAATGAGTCGTAGTACCACAAACAAAATCGGTGTTGGATACCCAACCAGTAAACTCAATTTGTGGCTCCATGTAGTCTTCCCAGTTACACTTGATAATCGTTTCCGTTAATCTCCCTCGACAATAATAAGGTAGATATCCGGTCTGCTCGGCTAGCTTCACTTTGAGCTACGGAAATGCCGTGTTCAATAGAGGGCGTCGGAACCGAGTGTCGTATGGATCGATTTCTGTGAGTCCAGCCCACGGCGTAAAGGTATACTCAGCAATGTAAGGGGCTATCTGTCTTGCGCATCGTTTTGTGATAGAAAGTATATGCCTAGATATCAGTATTTCTGATAAAAGAGAAGTTGGGGTCAGCAGTTGCATTTCACTATATTTCTCCCCCATGGCTCAGCCCCAACTTATTAATCGTTTTACAGGACCTAGAACTTGACCTACAGTTATCTCCGCAGGGCACACAGCCCCCCGCGCGCAATCACCCTGTCGTGGACGGTTACTACCCGGGGTATTAATGGGTTCACTGGTTTTGCAAACTCGGCAATATTCTAATCGTGTATCTAACAAAAGTTCTCTTAGGCGCTCGTAGACCCAGAACACAGGTCGCTAGCTACCTAAAATAGTTATTGAACCGGAAGTGTTTGTCGTGTTGCTCTTCCTCATCAAAAGTCTATGCAGGAAAGGACAGCAACCAGCAGTCATGCCCCATTAGAAGGCTATGCGGCAGTGGCTGGGTGGATCGCTCTCGATCCCGACAACGAGACGTTCGTCTTCCGTAAATTTGACAAGCTGGCAGCACG